GTGAAGAACTGGGGTGGAGAAGTGGGGACTCTCACCCTTTAGTCTGTGCACTGGAGGAAATTCAGATACAATTCGAATTAGACTGAAGGGCTTGCTTGGGAGTGTTCTCTTAACACACCTCAGAGGTAGGTGGAGCTGACAGGTGGCTCACTGTTCACAGTGAGGGGGGTTGTTGTCACTCCACAACCAACAATGCATGGTCTTGCAAGACGTCTCAGAGTGCCTCTCTTTGAATTCAGAGCTGCACTGCATTCATGAACCAGGGCTTGGGGGAGGCAGCCATCCACTCCTTTACAGATCCCACAGCCTGATCCAGCAGCAGCTCGGACCAGCAGAGGTCAGGTTATTTTGGGCCCTCGTAGACCTGAGCTGACTGAGCTGTCCTTAGAGTGATGTACTGGCCCACACTGGGTGACATTGTGAGAGGCAGCCTCCAAAGTGTGTGTTGATTTGAAGCAGTTTATGGGGAGGGTGCTGTATCCCGTGTTTTCTCCATAAGGACCCGTAGGATAAATTTCTCTGGGATCTCAGCTCCCGGAGCAGCATCTTTTAAGGAATGGATTTATGATTCTAACATGGCTTCCATGGCTCAGAAAACTGCTCAGAGTCTCCTGCAGATATAAGTTTAATTATTCAATAACGGTCTGATGACAAATAACAACGTTCGATCTTACCTCATGCTGTGTGTGTGCTGTGCTTAGTTGTGTCCGACTCTTTTGCGACCCTTTGGACTGTAGCCTGCCAGGCTCCTCTGGGATTTTTCAGGCAAAAATACTGGAGTGGGTTGACATGTTGTGACATTCCAACATGGCACTTCCATGTTGGAATCTTCCCAACCCAAGGATCAAACCCGCGTTTCTTGAGTCTCCTGCATTGCAGGCAGATTCTTTACCACTGAGTCACCAGAGAAGCACTTCTTACCTCCCGTTATCCCCAAAAGTAAAGTACAGATGGACTAAAGAGCTAAATGTAAAATATGAAACTATAAAGTATTAGAAAAAAAACAGAAAAACATTCTTAAAACCTTGGAGATTTAAAACTTTCTCAACCAAGACACAAAGTTTAAAGGCAATGAAAATAACCGATTATTAGTAACAAAATGTTTTGCATGTAAATATACTTAAAGTTAAGGAGAAAGTGATAGACAAGGGGAGAGTATTTTCAGTGTGTGACCATCAAAGAACTAAGATCTACAGTGTAATTAGAAAATAAAACTAATTTCTAAAAACCAAGAAGAAAAAGTCTGACAAAATAATAGAAGAAACATACAAATGTGTCTTTCACAGAAGAAAAAAATGCAAATAGCTGTAAATATAGGAAAAAATATTCAATTTCAGTAGTAACTATGTCAACTAAAAAGAAATATAATTTTTCTTTCCTCACATAAAGTTGGCAACAATGTAACAGACTGACACCACCAAGTATTGTTGACAGTATGAGAAAATGCGCTCCACGGCACAAGGCTGTGCAGACTGCTGTGAGGTTTGGAGAGTTTAATTTGGGGAGTACTCATTAAAATTAAAGATCCATTTATGCCTCAAGTCAGCAAGTCTGCTCCTGTCCTTGTATAAAAAGGTTTGCACACTGGTACTTTCTGCGGTATTGTTGAAAACACCAAACACTGAAAAAGTCTTGAATATCCATCATTATAGGAACTATTGATTGTGGATTCCTCCCCTCCTTGGAACACTGGGGAACTGAGGGAGTTGGGTGGGATGTTCAGAGCAACACTGGTAAAGTTCTTTTATCATCAGCATGACTTAGAATTGTCTGTGCCTGGTGCAAGGTGATAATAAAAAGGCGGACTTGGATTCGATTTATTGTTGTTTTAAAATTCTCATCAGGAAATGCTTCCATATTGCTTGCGTCCTGGACAAATTGCTCCCACTCCCACACTCCCCGCTGGGGACCACTGGGGTGCAGAGAGCTGTGTGCTCTGACCTCTCCACCACTTACTGTTAGGAAGAAGGGGTGGAAGAATAGAGGGGGTAGGATGCCAGTTTTGCTGAAACACAGATGCATTTACAGAATAATATTTCTAAATGTGCTATACATACATGATGCACAAATACAACTGTAGGCATTCGGTGGGAGGCAGCAGGGATGTAGGGTTGTGGTCAAGGCAGACTATACCTGTGGTGGTGGTTTAGTCACTAAGTTGTGTCCAACTCTTGGAACCCCATGTACTATAGCCTGCCAGACTCCTCTGTCCATGGGATTTTCCAGGCAAGATTACTGGAGTGGTTTGCCATTTCCTTCTCCAGGGGATCCTCCCAACCCAGGGATTGAACCCCGGTCTCCTGCACTGCAGGCAGATTCTTTATCGACTGAGCTACCAGGGAAGCCCAACTATATCTGTGTTTTCATAACGTCTATGCTATTTATATATTTACATATATGCCTATATTTATAAGTATGTGTGCGTGCCTACTAAGTCACTTCAGTCGTGTCTGACTCTTTGCGACCCCATGGACTGCAGCCCGCCAGTCTCCTCTGTCCGTGAGGATTCTCCAGGCAAGAATACTGGAGTGGGTTGCCACGCCCTCCTCCAGGGGACCTCCCCAACTCAGGGATCGAACCTGCGTCTCTTGTGTCTCCTGCATCAGCAGGAGGGTTCTTTATCACTATGCCATCTGGGAAGCCCTTATAAGTATGCAAATAGTTAAAAGTACACATTTATATGCCTTTTCTTTTTTGAGAGGAGAGCTGCCCTAGTAAGCTGAACAGAAGGGAGGACGAAGAGGGGGGCCAGGGTTTTGACGTCCCCAGAAGTTCAGTGCCATCGCCGCCTAGTGGGGAGGGGAGGACCCTGCCAGGGAGGCAGATCGCCTCGGTCCTCGATCCTTTCTGCTGGCCCTCGCCTTCTCCCTGTTGATGCCTCCTAAGACTCATCAGCAAAAGACAACTTACAAGTCTCCTTAGAATAAACAGGAAACTTCAGGCACCTAGTGGTGATGGATAGGTGGCATTTCATACCTGAATTTCAATCACGCAGACAACCCTCAAGAATATTCCTTGAGGCAAGTCACCCAGAGTCTCTGGAAAATTGTCTCCACTTGAGCTAGATGATACTGAATCACAGTTGAACAGAATTTTATAAATTTTTCATTTACGATCACGACAAACTCACATGGCAGATTTGTAATGCTCTTATTTTACAGAGGAGAAGGTGAGAGCCTGGACCAAACTTCTAAGTAATATACTAGCAGATGAGGCAGCATTGATGCTAAATTCTGTGACCTGAGGACCTCTGAGGTCACGACTACCTTAAAGGTGGCCCCAGGATCAGGGACCTGGCTGACACATTCATAGAAGCTGATACATTTACTATAGCAGATGCTGGTGATGTCCCGGGCTGTATCCCCCTAGACCTGCATCAGTTGCCCACAGCCATGGGGAACAATTTCTGACCCACTCATGGTTTTCCACCTCAGATCCAGTCTCTCTCTTCTCCATCTGAGGGGTTTCTCAGGCACCATTCATGCAAACCTGTGTATAAAGTTTATGCCCACCCTAGGTGGGACCTCTCTCTACCAGTGGGAGATAGGAGAATGGGTAGCTGCTGCCTATCTTCTAGGGGGAGAATTCTGAGTTGTGACCCACATAGCTTCTCAGTGGGTCCCTGGTGGGATGGAGCCCCAGTGGCCTATGTTGTATCTTCACTGGCCTTTCTCATTTCTTGGTTTCACTCTTGGGTTTCCTGGGATTGCTTCTCTCAAACTCTACAACCAAATTTTTAATTCCAGACTTGCTTTTTGTGGAACCCAAACTGAGAAGGCAGGATACGGTAGCTGGGTACTATGGGAGACGCAATGATGTTCAGAAAGTGGGTGTGGTTTCCCCAGGAGCATAAAATGTTACGTTGATAGTAATGTGAGTGGCAATGATGATGTGCCTACAGAAGACAGAGGCAACCTGACTAGGTCTTCCACAGGCTTGCAGTTTCAAACGGTTCAAAAGGGCATTTGAACTTTCCAGGCTTCACTTGTGTCACTTTAGAGTTCAGAAAATATCGCTATGGGAAGGCCTGAGTTGGCATCACAGAGTTTAATACTCAGTCCATGGTGATCATTGTGGAAGAGATCACCATGGATGTGAGAGGTGAGGGCAAGGTCACAGCATGATCATAGACCTAGAGCTGAGGATGAGCAGGGTGTATTCAGAGAATATAAAGTTAATATGGATGGGAGTTATACCTGACACTGTAAGTAAAGAGAGAGAGAGAGAGAGTGAGTGTGTGTGTATAGAGGAGGATTTTTCTAGGGAGAGATTCTGTAGCTTTAATCAGATTCTCTAAGGGGGTTCATGAGCTAAACCACGAGGGAGGAGGCCCTGAGGACTCTTGAGATGGCTTGTGATGGGAACCAGGAATCACAGAATGTTAGTAAACTGCACCCTCAGTTATGAGATCAAAACAACATTGACTGTGCCCTTGTTCGTGTTCTAGGAGAGAGCTCAGCTCTTTACAGAGTTATCTTCTCCACTCATCACAACCATCCTCTGAAGTGGGTTCTAATATTAGTCCCATTTGACAGATGAGGGAACTGAGACCTAAGAGGATGCTTTGTCCAAAGTCACATGGCTGGATGTGAACACGGGCAGGCTGATTCTAGACCCCATCCCCTTGACTCCATGCCAGGGGTCCTCAGACTTCAATGCATAGCAGAATCACCAAGACAGCTTGGGCTCCATCCCCAGAATGTTGGATTCAGCAGCTCTGGGGCAGGGCCCAAGGATCTGCATTTCTAATAAGTTCCTAGGTGCTATGGTTGTGGCTGGTCTGGGGGCCACACTTTGCAAGCTCACTTTGAACTCTAAGCTCTCATCTCCAGAGAGGAGGGTACGCCTCCGAGAGTTGTGACCTGTGTCAGCGGCAAAACCAAGATAAGAACCTGGATTTGTGGGTTCAGAATCCAGGACTCTCCATGCCACTCTTGCTTGGAGAGGGGCACAGCCTACTTAAAAATGAGTGGGTGCGTATGTGCACCCCGCTTTATTACCTGATGTGTGTCCAGCTCCGGGGGATGGCCACTGGGGGAAGGCAATTCCTTGCTTAGCTCCTCGGAGCCCCCCCGGGCCCTCCTCCACCTTCGGGCCCTCCGATCTGCGGCATGGGGGGCCTCCTCGGGCTCGCTGCTGTCTGAGGTCTCCCTGCCAGCTGCCTGAAGGTTGAAGTTCACATCCAGCTCTCCTTGTAGGCGCATCTTCTCGGCTGCAGGGTTCCGGGGGGCCTTCCTCTGCAACCAGGACAGCCTGGCCCGGTGCCCAGCTTCCCGGGATGAGCCCACCGAGGAGGTCTCCGAGTCAGACCACATGGCCTCCGGGTTGGGTGAGGGCCCAGAGGAGGCAGAGGGGCCTTGGTCTGAGCCCAGAACCTGTGTGGGCTGAGTCTGGGGTTCCCTGGGCAGAGCCCGGGGCTGCAGGCACAGCGTGCTCAAGGCCTCCCTCCAGTCAAAGTCCTCCTCGCTGTCGGAGCCCAGCTCATCATAGGCGGATGCCACGCTGGAGGCTGCTTCCAGGGCCTGAAACGTGCCGCTCTTAGGTTTGGCCAGCAGGCGGGTTGGGGGCAGAGCCCCATCCTTCAGGGCCATCCAGTTCCCATCGGGGCTCTGCAGAACTGGGGCCACAACTGTGGGCAAGAGGGAGAGAGAAGCCAGAGAGGGACCGTCAGCGCCTCAGAGCGAGGGGCCCCTCAGACAGCCCTCGTCCTCTGCCCCCCTCTTCCTAGAGCTCTTTCTGGTCTCCCCGCCCAGCCGTGGGCTCCTCCTTCCCTGAGTTGCTGTGACAGCCTTTCTGGTTCACTCCAGTATCCATCCTGGCTTCTGGCTGACCATGCACAGGGCTGGGCCCTCCTCACTGGTGACAGGGGCCCTGTGGCAGCGGCTGGGTCTCAGTCATCCTGCAGTGTTCCCAAGACAGCTCGTGCGGAGGAAAGAGCGGAGGCTGGGAAGTCAACTGTAGGGACGCTGTGGGCTGAGTAAACCCACCTCCAGCTCACACCGAGAAACTCAAGAGCAGGGACTGTCCTCAGATCTTTATTTCCCCGCACTGAGCACATGTGTATACGGCAGATGCTCAGTCAAGCTCTGGGAAGTGAGAGTGTGTCTGGGGGGATATGAATGTGTCGAAGGTACTGTCCAGACTGAAGACTGAAGGTGGGTTTACTCAGCGTCCCTACAGTTGACCTCAGCTGTGGACCAATAGGCCCCAGAGCCGGCCCTTTCCCGGAGGCATAAACAGAACTTCTGAAAATAGTCCAAGGACATTGACCTTCTGGGATGACCTCTGTACCTCCTCTGTTCTACTCTTCTGCTCTGCTGAGATGGAGCAGTGCCCCCAAGGAGCAACCTGCTTCCTGCGAGACAGATCAGACATCTTTCAAGACCTCTGGGGTTAGTCTGGACAGCTTAGCATGTCAAGGGCCAAGTGGTCCTCAGAAAAACCAGCTGTTTTCTACGCAAGTGCTTTCTGTTCTTTAAGGCTTCATCCTGAGAGGTGCACGGAGTTTTGAGCTGAGTATGAAATCTTTTTTGTGTGTGGTGTTGTTGAGCTAAGTTTTTGTTTCTACACAATGATAAAATTACACATAGGTGCCTAAGTTTAGAGCAATTTATGCACAAAACATGTTTTGAAAACCAAGATCCTTTGCAAATTTATTTGGAATGCTCCTAACCCAGCAGGAACTGTTTTGTAAAATGGACTGTCTGCTAGAAGTGCTTATAAAACCTCCTAAGTTGGTCAATTTCTTCGTCTAAATTTTGAAAAGCTCTTTCTTTGTTATTTGTTTACTGTGGAGACACTTGTTAACATGCATAGTTGAAGAGTCCTGACGCTTGGGTCACATTAGCTTGAACACTGAAATGAATGCCTGCTATGTTGGATTGGTGTTCCTGTGAAAGTGAAAGTGTCTCAGTCGTGTCCGACTCTTTGAGACCCCATGGACTATACAGTCCATGGAATTCTCCAGGCCAGAATACTAGAGTGGGTAGCCTTTCCCTCCTCCAGTGGATCTTCCCGACCCAGGAATTGAACCGGGGTCTCCTGCATTGCAGGCGGATTCTTTACCAGCTGAGCTATCTGGGAAGCCCTGGTGTCCCTGGCCTACGTCTAATAAGACACCTGCTCCTGTCCACACACAACAGGCAGCTGAAGTGGGGCTGTGCAGCCAAGTGATCTGAACCCACCTGCCCACTGTCTCGCAGGTCTCAGCAAGCAAACCGCCCACATGGGAAGCATGCCCGTCTCCAGTGGATCTTCCCGACCCAGGAATTGAACCGGGGTCTCCTGCATTGCGGGCGGATTCTTTACCAGCTGAGCTATCTGGGAAGCCCTGGTGCCCCTGGCCTACATCTAATAAGACACCTGCTCCTGTCCACACACAACAGGCAGCTGAAGTGGGGCTGTGCAGCCAAGTGATCTGAACCCACCTGCCCACTGTCGCGCAGGTCTCAGCAAGCAAACCGCCCACATGGGAAGCATGCCCGCCTTATATACAGTGTGCTGTGCGAGAGACCCCGTGACTTGATGGCCCAGCTGTCCCAGATGGGCACACCCCCCACTCAGACTGATGGTAGGCGGGGCTGAGCTGCCTCCCGACGGCATTTCTGAACCCTGCAGAACAGTTACTTGTCTGGTCCAGCCTGTCCACACTCTTCCAGCTGGGCAACGCCTCCTCCTCCCTCGGCTGCTGGCCCCTTGGCTGCCTTGAGGCAGCCTCCAGCGAAGGGGTCCTCAGGGCATCTTCTCTGCTGAGTGAGAATGCAGACTGCGACCGCTGTGCAAAGAAAAGAGGGGGAGGGGTGACCTCGTCAGACACAGTTCCCAGGGGGACTGCCTTCCGATCCGCAGGCACCCCACCGCATGGAGATGACGCAGCTGACGGTGATGGCTTTTCTCATCGTGAGGTTCAGAAGCTTCAAATCAGTACATCCTGCTGGGAAAGTATTAGCTGCTCAGTCGTGTCTGTCTCTTTGTGATCCCATGGACTGTAGCCCGCCAGGCTTCTCTGTCCATGCAATTCTCCAGACAAGAATACTGGAGTGGGTAGCCAGGTCCTTCTCAAGGGGATCTTTTCTGACCTAGGGATTGAACCCAGGTCTCCTGCATTGCAAGCAGATTCTTTATTGTCTCAGCCACCAGGGATGCTACATCATGCCATATAATGGCACAAATGGTTCCCCATTTATTCCACTGCAAGTGGCCATGCCTCCCAGAAAGCATCAGAGATGTAGCAGAATCCAACAGAGCTGGTTCTTACAAGGCTCCTACTTACCCAGTCATTCTTCCAGCTGAGATTTCTTAGGGCCAATTGTGTGTGATGAAAAGAAGAGCATATTCCCTTCAGAGACCTCCAAACCTGAGCATTGCAGGAGTGTAAGTAGAAAATTGTAGTAAAGTGTAATTGCTGAGATAGATAAGTGAGCCAAGACGGTCAGTCCACAATCCCAGAGACTCTGCAACACATTCCCATTTAGTTAAAATAAACTCTAACCTAAGGACAAGTGGTAGAAATGACTGACAAGAAACATGTTAGAACTGTATCATTTCTGTATGTTACAAATGTAATTTCGAGAATTTGTAGCTCCCATGTTCTACACAGGGAATTTCATCAAACAGAAAGAGACCAATTTTTTCCATTGTCATTTAATGAGAGAATTCTCTTCTCTTGGGGATTTACTTTGCTCTTTTTATATGGGTGAAATAGAGGAAGGAAAGGGCCAAGCCACAGAAAGCATCTCTGACTGTGATATGAAGCAAAGTATTGCTCTCTGACTACGGCTCTAGGCAGTTTGGCGCCACCTGCTGGTCAACATCAACACTAACAGGCCTACTGCCTTCTCTCCCCGGGAGAAACGAATGGGCTTTCCTCCTCTCCCAGCACAGATGCTGAGAGTAGGAGGCAAACGGGGAGCGTGTTTGGAGAGTGGTGGGCAGGGCCCCCAGGCAGCTGAGACTGGACTCGGGACTCATCTGTACCTGGGCTCCAAGACCACTTCTGGTGCAACACCTTGACTGAGTGACTTAATTTCCTGAGAAGCAGAAACCTAATCTTGTTCTAGCTTCCCAGGTGGCGCAGTGGTCAAGAATCCACCTGCCAGTGTAGGAGACGCGGATTTGATCTTTGGGTTGGGAGGATCCCCTGGATAAGGGAATGGCAACCCACTTCAGTATCCTTGCCTGGGGAAGTTCCATGGACAGAGGAGCCTGGCGGGCTGCAGTCCTTGGGGTGAGCTGGCTGCCCCTCAGTGAGTGAGTAAGTGCGTGCATACACACACACACACACACACACACACACAGAGTTTTGCTCTGCGCACAGTAAATGTATATTAAGTGGGAGCTTTGAAAAGTTGTTTGCGAATAACAAAGGAGAATAGCAAACACCAGCTGCAGGGTATCTGGGTGGAAAAACTGAGCATCATGGCTAGGGTTTGGGGAGAGGACAGTGCACTGTATAGCCTCACCCAGAAGGATGGCTAACCAGTCTGAGAAAAGAGGGCTGAGGACTGGGGCCCAGTATCCCCTAATCACAGGCCAGCCCAGGGCCCACAGCCCTCCGACACCAGGCGTCTGCACGCTCTGCTGGAGAGGGTGGTGCAGCCTGTTCTGGCCCCAGAAAAGTCGTAGGAAGCCTCTTCTACTTTCCCTCGCAAGACCCCAAGGCCGATCCAGGAGGAAGATGCGTTTGCAGAACCAATACAGAACCCTCTAAGCTGTGTGCCAAGGGTCATGACCCGACTCCTCTTTGATTACAGAGGAGAGTAGGACTGGGCCTTGATGCAGCAGTCACAGGTTAATGCAGCCCAGGCGCGGAGGAGCTCTCCCCGTCTTATTGATCGGATAAGATTCTGTGTGCATTCAGTTCAAAGAGGCCGTGGCCTGTGGGAAACCCCGTTCCTCAAGCTGGGCTGAGAGTCCTGCTGCTTTAATACTGTGTTATATGACACTATTGCAACATCTGTTTTTCTGCTGGTGTCCCCACTAGCCTGCAAGCAACTGAGGGCAGTTTAAGGATGGTTAATGGTGACAGCTCCTGGCGCAGCAACTGGTTTAGAACCGGGAATCAGTGCATGTTTACTGTGGAGCAAACGTGACTTGAGGTAGGCCATAGGATAGCTTTTCAGAAGTGCCTGTTGATGGTGATGACCTTACTAACTTCTTGGGTGACACTGGGGAGCAAGAGAAACAAAGAAGAAGCCCGGTGTCATCCTCACTCATATCATGGAGGGCAAGGTCTTACTTGGAGGATAGCCAGGCTAACACACTCGTCCGGTGGATTTTTGGCCCAGCGTCAGTTCTGTCATTCCAAGGGCATGGCAAGCACTGATCCTGTCTCTAGTGCCCTGAACAGCTCTGATACTTGGCAACAACGAAGGTTTTCTTGGGGTTGGGCATTCAGGGAGCCATCTGCAATTTTGGGAAATCCTTGACAGATGATGAGTGGCTATCATAGAGGAGAGATCAAGGCTGACAGTCTGTTGGCAGGTGAAGTTATTAAAAATGAAGCAAAAAAATCCATCCATGTCAAACTGCTATATATTCAGGGGGATACACCCTTCTTTTTAAAATCTGGCTGTGCCATGTCTTAGTTGGGGCATGTAGGATCTAAATCCCTGGCCAGGGATTGAACCCATGTACCCTGCACTGGGAGCATGGAGTCTTAGCCACTGGACTACCAGAGAAGTCCCAGGGGGACATAGCCTTGACATGCCTCCCACCTTGGACTGGCAAGACCCCCCCTTTCCTGTAATCACACAGATCTTCCTGTTTCTGCTACAGTCATATTCCAACTTGTCGTTTCTTCCACGGACTGTGAGCTCCTTGAAGACAGTCTGCTGGGTGTGACCTTCAGTCCCACATTTGTGACTCAATTTGTAGGATTATAACATGGTCTGATTCTAAGGAACTGATAGCCTGTTGCCAGGCGCAGTATTCCTGCAGCCTCCCCTGAGCTGTTTTCTATATCCTGGCCTTTATTTTTCTATCTTCAAACTTCACACTATAAATCACAAAATACATGTTTAAAAGAGAGAGGAAATGATAGTATTTCATTTTGCAGTGGCTCGAACAATATTTTATTTCTGTATGTGTGTCTGTAAGAGGTGGCTGGGTTCCACTTCTATAGGACAAAAAGGCTCTCTTACTCATAAAAGCCAAGATCAAAACAGGAATAGTCCTTCTCTGGTCCCAACAGGGAAGATGAGATCTATGTTTTTCATGAGCTAAGGATGCCGGGCTTTCATAACCTACTTCAGGAAAGCCACTGTTTCACACTAGGGGGAAAAACTACATCCTGACAATCACGAAAATCCCTAGAGAGCTGCCTCCAGCACATCTCAGGACACTGCTGGTCTGTGGTCTCCAGCCAGGGTGGAAAAGCCCCAGTTTTGAGACCTAGACGCAGCTTTGCCACAAGTTCATTGCAATAAACATATTGCCCAGAAGATGGCGCCACCAGGACACTTTTACTTGCCAGTCGGTTCAACCTCCTCGCTCTTGGGAAGTGATGGGATCACTCGGTTAATTTACTTGCTTTATTATCCTGGCTGGGCACTCTGTGCCCATCCTTCCACTCCCACCCACAGTGTCTGTTTTCCGTCCTCTTACCCACCCTAGGGTCCATGGAAGAAACAAGGCTGGTGATGTCAGCAAGGGCCGGCCTGAGTTACAGTGTCTGCACATCCATGCTGGGAGGCTGGGCGTGGTGGGTGGAGTCCATGGGTCCGGGAGTGTTATCATGACAGCAAGGCCTTGCAAAGATGGACTGAGAATTTCAAGCTGGCCCCACCTCTTAACTCTTGGGGCATGAAAGTGTTGGGTAAGGGGTCCCGTGCCAGCTCCTCCTCCTGGGCTCCCCTGGTGGCTCAGAAGGTAAATAATTCGCCTGCAGTGCTGAAGACTCGGGTTTGATCCCTGGATGGGGAAGATCCCCTGGAGGAGGAAATGGCAACCCACTCCGGTATTCCTACCTGGAGAATTCCATGGACAGAGGAGCCTGGTGGGCTGCAGCCCATGGGGTCGCACAGAGTTGGACACGACTGAGCGACTAACACTTTGATTCTAAGCCTCAGGGATCAATGCCATGCCAAGCACACAGAGTGCTCAGTAAGGATCAGTCAAAGTAGCAGCATTTATTAAGCTCCGCCACCGACCCAGGGCAACACCTCCATTCCCTCACTCTGTCTGGCTGGGGACACGCGGGTGACCTGCGGCAGCTTGGACCAACTTGCCCACGCATGTGGTTGGTGAGGGGCGGAGGCAGGGCTCGACCTTGGGTCTATCTGACTCTAAGCCGATGCTCTGCTGTGGCCTGACACCCTTTCCTGAAAGCCTGGGGACAACGCACTCCTGGCTAACAGGCCTCAGCCCAGCAGGACGTGCCATCCAAACCAGCTGGTTCTGAAGCTTTAGACAAAACTCACAGGGTGATCATCAGTTACTTTTGTTAAAGCTTCCTCTGTGGTTGCTGGTCCTCTGTGTGGGCCACAGCATCCCGCCCTCCTTGTATCTCTTGGGATGGGATATTGTTGCTATGACTGCAATGATTACCATCATCGCCAACAGGGCAGGCTCCCTGGGGCACTGATCATGGCTTCAAAATAGTCTCAGCTCTCAAGGAGCCCACATAAGGGGTGAACAAAGAGTGAAAGTTTTTAGTATCAAGGGTTTGTGGGCAAAGGGGTCAACAATACTGTTCGAATGAATAACAGCTGAGACAGAGCTTTGCTTTGTATTTCTGGGGTCAGGCACAGCCATTAAGTTCAATCCAATAATTGTAACAGTAATGAAAAATACTTCAGGTCTGTACTATAGTCATTTAAGGAGAGAGCAAATGTGAGGGAGGAAAATGACAAAAACACAAAGAGAACTGGCTGAGGAAAATAGAAAAGGATGGAGAAGAGACAGAGAAAGTTAGAGACACACCTCAGTCGCTGGGCACATTGCATGCCCACCCTCTGCTACCATCATTGTTATCATTAGGATCACCACATTAATACAGAGGTGGCTTTTTACATACACGCGCCCAGGGAGACAGGCACTAAATGAATGATAAGCCCCTCACTGGTGCTTGTTAGGATATTGCATCTTAAGGCTTTGAGAATCAGACTGCACTGACCTCCTTCCTGGCGGAGAGCCACACAATCAGAGAGGAAATTAAAAAGAGGGACGATCACACTGAATTTTCTTTCAAGAGAACAGATGAGAAGTCCTGTCTGACTGGAGATGGATTAAGTTTGGGTTTTGCAGTTAAGCCCAAGGACGGAGTCCGACAGGGTTTTGGGGTTCTGCATAGTTACCCCTGGAGCCAGAGTATCCACATCCCTGGAGGACTGAGGACACAGGAGGGAGCACGGTCAGGAGGCCAGTGGTCCAGGGCCCTCCAGGGTCTGCAGGTCCGGGTCCCACCTCAAGATGCCACGAAAAGGCCATCTTTCAGCCCCCAGCCTGTGCCCACACCCCCACCAGCTTTGGGTTAATGTTCCCTGGTAGTTCAGCTGGTAAACAATCCTCCTGCAATGCAGCAGACCCCAGTTCAATTCCTGGGTTGGGAAGATCTCCTGGAGAAGGACACGGCTAACCCACTGTAGTATCTTTGCCTGGAGAATCCCCATGGACAGAGGAGCCTGGTAGGCTACAGTCCACGGCGTTACAAAGAGTCGGACAGGACGGAGTGACTTTCACTTTCACTTCACTTTCACAGATGCCCAGGTTCTGCCCCAGACCCCGTGAGTCAGCGCCCTTGAATGGGGCGCCAACAGGTGATGAAGATGAGAGTCCAGGGTGAGGACAGCTCGTGGGAAAGTGGGAGAGCCACCTGCCTCGAAGTCCCCAAGATCCAAGGCTTGGCCCGCTCTTTCGTATCCAGGTTCTGGCCTGTGTCCTAAAGCACTTCCACTTTTTCTGCCTTCTGTCTCTCCTTGCTTCTCCTGTTTATCTTGCTCCCTAGACCAGAGCCGTGTCAGAAGACTTTCAGGGAGGGTGGAAATGGCCTGTAACCGCACTGTCCGATTTATAAAGTAGCCACTGGCCCCAGGGCCTGTGGAGGACCTCAAATATGGCCAGTGTGACTGAAGAACTGGATTGGATTGGCTTTAAATTGTCACTTGTGTCTTATGGCCACCATATTGGACAGTGCAGACCTGGAATCTCTGGGATGAAAGGGGCCTTAGGGGTCGAGTCCATTGATCTCATTGTTTATAGGAAGAAGCCACAGCAAAAGCTTTGGAGCAGGAAAAAGGCATCCAACATTCAACCCCACTGATAACTAGCTATGGGTGCGTAGGCAAATTATCCTACAGTTTAAGCCTTAGCTTCTTCACCTATAAAATGGGCCCAATAATACCTGCGCCTTTTGGTGGAGAGTCAAAGAAATAATGTGATGGGGTGATTTTCCTGTCTGCCTGTCCAGTTTTTCGGGTTTTTTTGATGTACAGTTGATGCAATGGCATTTCACAGGTGGTGCTCGTGGTAAAGAGCTCTGCTGCCAATACAGGAGATGAGAGTTCGATCCCTGGGTGGGGAAGATCCCCCGGAGGAGGAAATGGCAACCCACTCCAGTATCCTTGCCTGGGAAATCCCATGGACAGAGGAGCCTGGTGGGCTATCGTCCATAGGGTCGCAAAGAGTTGGACGTGATTTACAATATTGTATTAGTTTCAAGTGTACAGCAAAGTGATTCAGTTACATATATGTAGTTTTTCAGATTATTTTCCATTAGAGGTTATTATGAGATATTGAATATAGTTCCCTACACACTAAATCCTTGTAGTTTATATGTTATTTCATATATAGTGGTGCATATCTGTTAATTCCATACTCCTAATTTATCTCCCGCCTCCTCCCCACACACCGCCAAGCTTCCCTTTCTTCTTCAGCAATCATAGTTCATTTTATATGTCTGTGAGTCTATTCCTGTTTTGCACATTAGTTCATTTGTAGTCTTTTTTAGGTTCCACACATAGTCGATGTCCTATAATTTGTCTTTCTCGGTCTGACTGACTTCACCAAGTATGATCATTTCTAGGTCCATCCACATTGCTGCAGATGGCATGATTTCATTCTCCTTTATTCTGCCTTTCCAGTTTTAAATTGCACCTATGTGTTACCCCGTCCTCTGCCCCATGCTATGACTGTGGGTCCCTGCAGCTGACAGAACACAAGTCTGCCGGCCAGTCCTGCTCCTTTTCTTGCTGAGTTTCCACACCCAGGACCCAGCCTCTATCCTCTTCCCCACACACGCCCTCGCTGGGGACGGAGGAACACACACCAAAGGACTTTACGGGCTCGGTGACCCTCCCAGACACGACAGATCTGGACGGACACTGTGCTTTGTGACCGGGGAGAAGGAACAAAAAGGTCTCTCCACATCCCGACGCCCCATCCACGTGCTGCTGTGACCTCAGAAGGCAGCGGTCATTCTCTCACTGTCCTTCTCAGTTTCCGTAAAGCAAGTGCTCGGGTGGGTAGGGGCACACATGGCCCTAAGAAAGCTTCTTCCCACGGGACTCAGTACTCAGACTCCTTCTTTTCAGAAGGAATTTTCAAAAGCTTGTTGACAGTGTCATTTTTCCTAAATTGGTCTCTGCGTAAAAACCCACCTCCACATGTAAGAGAACAGCCTCCTGGCCCCCACTCCACGCTGTCTGGCGGGCACATGTGCAGACTACAGATGCTAGGCGTGGCGGCCCCATTTCTACGGGGAGAGCGGTTCTGAGCTGCACACAGCAGGGTCCCTGTCGGGGTGGGCCGGCGCGGCATGGGGGCTCACCCAGAAGGTGGTGGAAGCTTGGGGCCCCCCCGGGGAGGCTGTGGTCCCCTCGTCAGCTGCCTTCGCCCCGCAGCTCTGGGGCTGCGGCCACTCCGGCTCGTCTTCCACGCGCTGCTCACTTTTGCTCTTCTGTTTCCTTATGATCTGGGGAGGAGGCAGGTGACAAAAGGGACATGTTATTGGAGAGACTTCCAGCGCTAAGTGGTGTAGCTGGGATCATCTTTGGGAAATTTTTAGTCATGGACGAGCTTAGCTTCAACAGAATACCAGCCAGTTTCAGACCCGCCCTGTGATAAAAGAGCACAACCAAAGCGTTGCACATTCTACAGCATTTTACAGTTTAAAAGTAGTCCTTTTATGATGCTGACAACCTTTTCTATTAATTAAGCGCCTACTGTGTGCCAGTCTCTGTGCCTGACACCGTATAGTACAAGGGCTTGCCTGGTGGCTCAGATGGCAAAGAGTTTGCCTGCAGTGAGGAGGGCAGGTTCAATCCCTGGGTCGGGAAGATCCGCTGGAGAAGGAAGTAGAAACCCACTCCAATGTTCTTGCCTAGAGAATTCCATGGACAGAGGAGACTGGCCAGCTGCAGTCCATGGAGTCGCCTGACACCATATATGCTCTGTGCTTGACACCATATATGCTTTACCTCATTTAATTCTCAGAATAACTCTAAGAGCTACCTACTATAACTCCCCCTATTTTACAGATGCAGAGTTAAGCTCAGAGGTCATCAGTTAAGGATACACAGCTCATCAACAGTGGAGCTGGATCTCAAACCCAGAATCTCCGGCTGTACTTTAGGAAGGGTCTGAAAGCCCTAAGGAGGGGGCAGATACCAAGTGTCATGAAGGAAGGCTTCAGCTTGTCTGCACCGCTTGCTATGTTGGGCACAGCCACTTGGGTTTAATAAGTCCCTTTGTACAGAGGTCTCTGGGCCAAGTTCCTGGCTCCTCCCCCACTAGCTCAGTCCCTAAGGGCAAGCAGGTTCACACTGCTTAGTTGTTGCAGCGCAATGCAACCCCTCTGCCTTAGCCCCAGAGTACAATGACAAAAGTGAGAAGAAACAAGACAAACGACGCCCGAGACAACAGTGGTACCCACGGTGGCGCTTCCGCTGACCGAAGGCCCTGGTCCGGGCCAGGCTGGCCCACTGCCGCCGTGTGGTTGCCAGGGCGCACCTACCTTCTGCAGGATGGTTGTGGCCAGCTCCTCGGCCAGCTCCTCCTTGTGGTCCCGCAGGTAACTGGCCTCATTCTGCTTGTCCTGCAGAAGGAAGAAGAGAAGGGCGTGAGCTGTGGGTGTGTTCGGGGGACTCGGCAATCGATTTCTTGGGAGTCCTGACCACAAATGCAGGGGGAGGGTGGGCTCAATTCAAGGATGGTTATATGATGATGGCGTCCCCACAAGATGCACTTTCTCTTGGCAGCCAGGACCCCACCCACACCACCTTCCAGACAGACATTGCGGGACGGGGGGCAGGTGGCATACCAGGCTGTCCCCGTAGGCTTCTGCTTTGGAGATGGCTTCCTCAATGGCCTCCTCGGCCACCCGTAGGGCGACAGCCAAGGTGTCCATCATGCTGTGTCCTGGACAGGAAACAGAACACAGACCACTTCTAAAAGGCAAGGACAAGTGAAAGGTCCTTGTGTCAAAGTCATGAGCTGACTAGGACGAGGCTAGGCCATCGTCCTCTTGTGCCCGGCGCTACGCACAGCTCCAAATGTGCAGAGTGGCTTCAAGACGACTGGACGAAGGGACTTAATACAGCAGTCCTTCATCTACCTTCTCAGACAGAGATGATGCTTTATTTTGTGCATGTACTGTATCATTTGTAATGATAGGTAGGAAAACTGTGAAATCTTCTAAGGGCTGTGCTCATGGTTTAATGCAAATACAAAACCCACAAAATAATTTTTTAGATTCTAAACCCATACTGTCAATAGCATTGGCCGACCTTGTCCCAGCTCAACCACCTGCTGGGCCACAGACCAAGTATCTCAGTTTAACAACGTTGTGCTGCAGATGAACAGGAAAGGGACTCAGCCATATGTATACCATCCAGGCTGCCACATAACATTGTTAAAGCTGAGATTTGAATTCAGGACTCTCTGTCTCCAAATCCTGTGATTTTAACCACAAAAGTGAGATAAATACAAACTAACATGATTTTTAAAAATAAGGCTATCATGTATCTAGTGAATGGATTTTTTCATATGGCAACAAACAGGAGGAAGTGTTCTTAAGCCAAAGGACTTCCACAGGTGACAGAATTCTCTTTGGAGTCAAGTGCTTGGAAGAGTTCTGCTTCCTGGAGGTACTAGATTTTTACCTCTTACTTGAAAGTGAGAATTTCTATCATTCCTCTTAGTTCACCCCAGAAGCCCAACTCACATCAGGAATGAGAGCAGAGGTCTGCAGGGGCTGGTTGCCTATGTCTCCTCCTCCCCTTCTCAACCTCCTGTTCCCATCTATAATCTGCTAGTCATTCATTATTGAACACATGCAAATCTCCTGAAAGCTGCCTCGGGTTCTTTGTAGAATGAGATAACGTGTAAATATATCAATTCATTAATTAATCAACCCCTAAATTAAAATACTAAATTCAAGCTTCTTAGGCTTCTGAAGACACACATGTGGACAGAAAGTGGCATTTGGCAAATATAATAAAATCTCCCAAACCAACCCGAGCATATGTGCTATGCATGCTAAGTCACTGCAGTCATGTCTGACTCTTTGCGACCCCACAGACTATAGCCCGCCAGGCTCCTCTGTCCGTGGGATTCTCCAGGCAAGTGTACTGGAGTGGGTTGCCGTTCCCTTAAACTCCAGGGCATCTTCCCGACCCAGGGATCAAACCAGCATCTCTTATGTCTCTGCATTAGCAGGCAGGTTCTTTACCATAGCACAACCTGGGAAGCCCAAACCAACCCTGTTAAAGTCAAAGCCATCTAGCCAGGCAGCTGATGAGGACGTCGCAGGCTGGCTGTGTGTCCTGACAGAGACACGCCTAGGGTTCAGCACCCCTCAAGTGTGGCTGAGTGAGCACACGGTTTCCCCGGTGTCTCCATCAGAAGAGTATTAAATTTAAGTTGTCACCACACTCAGTGCTCCCTGGAGACAGACACCGTATCTCCCATCTCTCTTCTTTAAGATACCAGGCAATGTGTTGTTCACAGAAGTAGTGCCCTACAAATTCTTGTTGATTCAAAGTGCACCATGACCTCCCCAGCGCTAGGCTCCGAGGGCCCCAGTGATGCCCCAGCAAACAGCAGCTGAGTCCACACGCTCATGGGCTTTCCGAGCCATCGGGTGATCAGACACATATGTAACAGCTAAGAAGCGTGTGGAGATCCTGTGCCGGGGCCAGTCACCAGCTTCCATAGAGCCCTGGAAAGAAGGAGCGTGGAGATATCAGAAAGGCTCTGGAGGCCACATTTAAGACTTTGGCACAAGGTGGAGTGGAGCGCTGAAGATGTTTGGTCCGAAAGTGAAGGCTCGAGTCAGTTCCAGAGATAACTGGTGGGGGTGGAGGGAGGCTAGGAGGGCAGAGGCAGAGTGGCCGCAGTTCAGAGGATCAGTTAGGTAGAGGGATGGTTACTTTTGTGTGTCTAAGTTATAGCTGCTGCTAAGTCGCTTCAGTCGTGTCCGACTCTGTGCGACCCCATAGATGGCAGCCCACCAGGCTCCCCCGTCCCTGGGATTCTCCAGGCAAGAACTCTGGAGTGGGTTGCCATTTGCGCCACCTGTTTAATCCAACACTAACCCAGGTGTGGCTATGAAGGTTTCTGTAGGTGTGGTTCACATTGTGGTTACTTGTGATTAGTTGACTTTAGGTAAAGGATATTACCCTTGAAAATATCAGTAGGTCCCATCCCATCACTTGAAAGGCCTTAAGAGCAAAAACAGAGGTTTCCCAGAGAAGAAATCCTGCCTTAAGACTTGAGGATCAACTCCTAAAGAGTTTCTAGCCTGCTGACCTATTCTATAGATTTTGGGCTTGCCAGGCCCCAAAACTGTGTGACCCAAGTCCTTGAAATGAACTTCTTTGTATGTGTGCACGTGTGTTGTGTGTACATATCCTATTGGTTTTGTTACTCTGGAGAACCCTGGCTGACTTAAATGGTCACTGAAATTAATATCAACATAGGAATGTTAAGAGCAGGAAGGTCATAGAATAGCAGCAGGCCATAGAATAGAACAGAAAAAGAAAAGAACTTTCTATTGGAAAGGAAAAGTGCAACTTTCTATTGGAAAGAAAAAGAAACTTTCTATTGGAATAGAAAGAAAAGAACAGGATTGCAGACAGAACCAATAAGAACTTGGGAGACTGGGTGGAAGTGGGGACAGGGACTGAGGGAAAGGTTGAATCTTGACGGGGGACTTAAGTGGCTGAGGAGCTTGGTTAGGACACGCTGAGGGGTCACAGCTACTCAAGATTCCTGGAGGAGCTACAGCTCCCGATGGTCCAGCATCGGAACTCTGAGTCTAGAACTCTGGGGCTGAAGTGAGAGCTAGGCATTCAGACGGAGGTGCACCATGGTCACGTGTCAACCCAGGGAGAAGATTCAAGCAAGAAGGATGAGAGAGGACCAGACTTTCATGCAAAGGTGTCTAAGGAGAGAACAGGGTGAATGCAGAAGCTGTGGGGGAGGGGGGACACCAGAGAACCAGGGGGATTAGGAAGCACCTGTTCCAACACCCAGCACTTCAGGGAAAGAGTGCAGTGTTGGAGGAGGTTCTATTTGTAATTAGAAGTTTGTTTTGCTTTTGATCTCTGTTCTAAAGGAACGATTATATTGGTATAAAAAGTCAAAGTCAATCCATAAATGGTACGTTCTTTCTAAGAATATTTCAATATGAATTGCACAAGTGAGTTTGTTGATTATTATATTCTAACTCCAGAAAAACCCACACTTATAAGTGAAGTGAAAGTTGCTCAGTCCTGTCCAACTCTTTGCGACCCCCATAGACTGTAGCCAGCCAGTCTCCTCTCTTCATGGAATTCTCCAGACAAGAATATTGGGGTGGGTTGCCACTCCCTTCTCCAGAGGATCTTCCCAACCCAGGGACTGAACTCAGGTCTCTTGCATTGCAGGCAGATTCTTTACTGTCTGGGCCACCAGAGAAGCCCGAAACACACACTAGTTGATCGTTAAGTATCTAGTGGTTGGTAGGGAATGAATGCACTTCTCTAGGTTACACCTTAGATATATTCAACTATTTTGATGATGCATTCACACAAAAGGCAATTAAAGAAGACCCAGGGAGATGCTCATACACAATAACAGAGTTCCATCAGTGGTCCCAATGCAATGAGGGACCTGACGATCTGAAGGAGTTTCCAGTCCTCCAACCTCCCATTAGGTGTAAACCCATAAGCAACCTTACCTTCTGACTGCCTGTAAAATGTTGAGTCACTGCCTGAAACACTTCCTTCATTCTCCAGGTTTGCCTCAAAAAAGTTTCCTCCTAAGAGAGAGCGAGAGAGGATATAAGATTATCCAAGGTGTTCAGTGAACCTGGCGCACTGTGCTACTAAATTGGCAGACCACCATTACCCACTTTGATTATTTGCCTTGCAAATAAGTTTAGGGAATTCCTGGGTTTTTAGGCAATAATTTTAGGAATTACTGGGTTCCACAATAAGCTACAGATTTTGACCAGTCACATTTTTTCTTTCTCATATTAATTCCTCATGTAGCATCACTTCCACCCCCAACTTTCTTCCCGAGCCTTCTTTGGAGGTAGTATGGAATCAAACATGGAACAAAAGATTGAAGTCTGAGAGATACGAGGTCATTTCCTGGATCTGCAAGTGACTAGTTGTGTAACCTTGATCAAGTTACTTAACCACTCAAACACTTGGTCTCCTTACTAGAAAAGCTGTGATAATGACAGAATTCTCCTCGTGATGAGTGATGAGACACTGAATGCCTGGTCTTTAGCTACTGTTCATGGCATCTATCCAAACAGTTGCCTTTAGCCAGTGAACTAACTGTCATTAGCAGTTCGGGGAAACAAACCCAGAGCAAAACAAAGTAAGCCTCAGCATTTGGTCTTTTAAGGCCTACTGCCTCTTCTCTGGTCTCCGGTCAGTTGAATGCACACCCTAGTGCCTTAGTTCCAGGCTGGAAAGTGCTGGAAAGCCCTTTTTCAGTTGGGGGTTTACCATCTGTATTCACTCATTAACCCATCAAATGAGATCTTTGAAGGTGTGAGGTGTGTGTCATGGCTCTTTCCTTTTAAAATTACTATATTGTATTCCCAGTGTCCACGGCAGCATGGTGATAGCAGGAGCTCAAGAAAAATTCTTGAATTGGATGCTGGTGGAAAACACTGACAGAAGCAAGAGAATAAATGTGGGTCTACATGTCTTAGCTCAAAAGGGGGAAATGCTACTGATTCCAAGTCAAACTAAGCAGTAGACCTTTGATACAAATAATAGAGCCTGCACTTCCCTGGATGGGCTGCATGGGGCTCTGGTGTGGGAACTCTGAGGGTGACTGCCATAGGTTCCTGCCGCAGGGCCAGTGGGATGTGACCTTTATGAGACATGACATTAGTGTGTGCCTGCCACAGTAACTCTGTCTGACCATGTACTATTGTCTGTATTTGTGTTTTTTTGACCAGCCTTTCAAAAGACCCGAGGTCACTTATTCTAGCTCTGTGACCATAGGAAGAGACTTTATCTTCCTGTGTCTCTATCTCCTCATTTATAAAATAAGCCTTTAGGATAAGTCGTCACCTCAGTTCTCAGACTACACATCTAAGTGCAAATATTTCACTTTGGCTTGGCTGCATCCGGCATCCATTCATTCATCAAGCAAATATTCCATGGGGACCTAGTAGATGCTTGGCCCTGGGCTGGATGTTAGAGTGATTGGTGAGCAAAGCCAGAAGACCTTGCTGCCCCGACAACTTGTCAGTGTAGTGGATGAGAATTCAATAACCAAAGATTTATATAAATAAATAGAAAGCTATAGATACATTGAATGCTGTGACTGGGTGGCTCACAGAATAGGGCGAGTGTTCAGTAGGGAAGATTGACCTAGATGGTGAGAGACCAGGCAAAGGGGTGTGGGGGCGGGAAGGAGTTCCGGGGCAGAGCACACAGCTTGCATCGGGACAGGCAGTAGGGACAGTGGGGTGCACCTGAGACCTAAAGCAGAGGCTGTGTGACAGCCTGGGGTGAGATGGGTTGGGGGCAGACCTTGCAGTGTTCTGATCTTTGTCCCAACGTGAAGCCACCTGAAGCCAGTAAAGGCCGCAGAGGGATGATCTGGTCAGGTGTATGCTTCTAAAGGCACACACTAGCTGCTGTGTGGAGGACAGCTTGGAAGAGGGAGAGGGTGGGTGTCTAGAGAGGAAGTGGGGAGTGCAGCCTGCCCTCTGGAGTGTCCCTGTGATAAGAAAGAGGGTGGCAGGGCGGAGGCAGAGGAGAATGTGCAGTCCAGGAAGGGCTTAGGAGACAGGAGAGACTGGCGTGATCTCAGATCAGTAGGGAGGGACCAGTTAAGGGAGAGGCTGAAAGGCAAGATGGAAGAGCTAAGTGACCTTGAGCCCTTCGTGGAAAGTGACAGAGTTAGATGTGGAGGTGTACACGGTCTGCCCCGTGAAGGAGGCGGCGAGGCTGTGTCCCGAGACAACACGGAGAGCGGTGGGGAGTGTGAGGAAGGGGGAGATCTGGAAGCATCCTTGGGAGCCTGCGCCAGCCAGGCCAGGCTCTGGTTTTGCATTATTATAAACCTTCTCGCACAGCGACTCCCCCTGGGTCCCTTTACAGTCATAGGTGGGAGCTTCTGTGCGTCGTTTAGGATGATGGGGTTTTTCCAAGAGCAGAAAGTGACTGAACTATTCTGGAGACTGAGAGCGGCAGCCAGGCACCAAGTCAGAGCTTCCGTGAGCCAGAGGAGCCTCCGACATCACACAGCTCAGTGTTGGTAAGAGTCAGTGTTCGTCACTCAAATCCCAGGTGAAGGATGTCATAGACCCTTCCCAGAACCATATCAAAAATAGATATATCATACTAATAAATAGAAGTAGGATTTGTTTTCCCCATTTTATTTATCTAAAACTAAATAAACGAGCTTCCCTGCTGGCTCAGTGGTAAAGCGTCTGCCTGCCAGTGCAGGGGACGCAGGAGGCGTGGGTTCGATTCCTGGATCAAGAAGACCCCCTGGAGGAGGAACTAGCAGCCCACTCCAGGATTCTTGCCTGGGAAGTTCCACGGACAGAAGAGCCTGGTGAGCTATGGGGCCGCAAAAGTGTCAGACACAACTTAGCAACTAAACAACAACAACTAAATAAACATACATATTTATCAAGTTGTCTAGGGATTGAGTATATTCATAAGGGCTACTTTCATCTTAGAATAGCTGTTTTTGTTTGTTTGTTTTTCCCTTTTGGTTGCACAGCATGAAGGAGCTTAGGCATGCATGATCTCCTTGGCAGTGAGAGTGTGCAGTTGACCACTGGGGAACTCTCAAGAATAAATGTTAAAGATATCATGCTGAGGGACCTCCCTGGTGGCCCAGTGGGTTAGACTGTCTTCCAATGCAGGGGGTGTGTGTTTGATCCCTGGTTGGGGAGCCAAGATCTCACATGCATCACGGCCAAAAAACCAAAACATAAAACAGAAACAGTGTTTTAGCAATTTCGATAAAGACTTTAAAAATGGTCCACATTAAAAAAAACTTTAAAAAAATGTCATGATTAATCTATCAGATAAATCACATTGAGCACACATTCCCATTGGACATTATATTTTTTATAAATCTATTTGCTTATTTCTCTGACTTCTCCACTGCAAAGTTGGCTCTGAGATGGCCAGGTTTTGCCCATCTTGTCACCCCCAGGTTTTAAACCAGGCACTCACTAAAAGTTTACTGGACTTCCTTGGAGGTCCGGTGATTAAGACTCCATGCTTTCAATGTAGTGGGCTCAGGTTTCATCCCTGGTTGGAGAGCTAAGGTCCCACATACCTCGTGGTCCTCTAAAAATGTTTACTGAAGGAGTGAATACCACTAGGATTTATCTGATAAAACAAATGTGTCGTCAGTTAGGCCTAATCTGGTCACCAGTGCTTGCGACAGATGGTCATGCAAGGGTGCATATGATGGGTGATCCATAAGACTCTGTGAACTCAATGAATTTTCAATGGACTGATTGGTTTTATGGCAAACTACATTGGTTTATCGGAGAAGGCAATGGCACCCCACTCCAGTACTCTTGCCTGGAAAATCCCATGGATGGAGGAGCCTGGTGGGCTGCAGTCCATGGGGTCGCTAAGAGTCGGACACGACTCAGTGACTTCCCTTTCACTTCCATGCATTGGAGAAGGAAATGGCAACCCACTCCAGTGTTCTTGCCTGGAGAATCCCAGGGATGGAGGAGCCTGGTGGGCTGCCGTCTATGGGGTCGCACAGAGCCGGACACGACTGAAGCGACTTTGCAGCAGCAGCAGCACACGGGTCCATGCAATGGAGCTATTCCATAGATAAAAGGAATTTCCTGCTGAGAGTCCTGGAACAGAGCACTGGTCTTGCACCCTGTAGGTTATGTTCTGACAATCAATATTCTAAATACCCTCAGGTGGAGTTGAAGATGGAAACATCTTATTCAGAACCTCCAGCTGAGGTTCTCAAGTCTTGGCTGCATCTTAAAATAACCTGGAGAGCTTTTTAAAAAATATCTGTGCTGGGCCCACCTCCAGAGATTTGGAAGTAATTGGCTGGGGGTGGAAAATGACTCTGGTGCTGTGAGTTTTTTTTCAGTTCCTGAGGTGATTCTAAAGTGTAGTCAGGCTTGAGGATGGCAGATGACAACCACATTAAGGTGCTGGGTGGTAGGTAGGAGCTAATGCTGATGACTCCACAGTCATCTAATATAACCAGGAAGCCACTCACACACTGGGAGATTTCTCCAAACTTGAGGTATATGTAAGTCAATTTTCTAGGTGGTAGGTAGAACCAACCTCACTGTTTTATGATCATGACTTTACAGATTTCAGTACCGTCTCGTAAACTATCTCCTGCCTGCTTGTCTTCATGATGATCAAAAGGAAATCTTAGTTTAAATGGAGATACAGATCAAATCAAAGTAACTGATTCCAGTACTTCTGTGAAGTGTCCTGGTACCTACAAAGTGCTTTCAAGCCTGAATTGTGCAATACTGAGGACCTAAAAGGTATCAGCCACTGGACCACACTTTTGAAACACAGAGATAAAGAAGCTATAGCCTCTGCCAGGTCCAGCAGGAGAGCAGCTTTGTAAACCATCCCCTTCATGCAACGTGGTAAGCGGGGTGATTAAGGCCCAGATGAAAGAAGTGGCGAATCACAGAGGCTCCAGGACCTAAATCTGCTTCAATAGTGGCAGAGTTATTCCCAGCAAATGATTTGCCTTTGAAAATAACACTTGAACATTTCAAAGCCTCTGGCTGGCCCACTTGGAATTCACGTTTCCCGGCTCCATCTGCAGGGCCCAAGGGAGAAAGAGAAAGAGATCGCAGTTGTGCTCTGTTTATAGGATTCTCCAAATGTGTTGGCTCCGCCCCTTCTGCTCATTTTGCATGAAGCAGTAAAGAACACCCTTGAGATTTGAATGTGGTGACATGTAAGACAGATCATGGAGCTGACCTGAGGATGAGCAAGAAAGAAAAATGGGATGCAAATGATGAGCCAATGCAACTCCAGAACTTTCTTGACGCATCTCTTTGGGTTGAAAACCTGTTAACACGATTACTTTTAAGCTTCGTTGCTTTTCTTTTCTTTTGGTCTTTGTTCCTTGAGAAATGTTTTTAGAAAAATCAGCAAAGAGAAGATTAAAAATAATATGTGGAAATCTTCGGCCCTGGTGTCTTAGCTACAGGCTTCCTGAGAGTGGTTTGAAAGACAGAGATTCTAACAGCTGCCACAAAAGGCCCTAATGATTCTCCGTGTTTAATGCTTCCACTCTGTTTCCCGCTCATCTCAGTGGCTCATCTCATATTTTTAGATAAGACACAACCAAAGACTTTACTGACAACACAGCAATGTAAAATAATGATGATGAAAAAGCTCCAAATGAGATGGAAGCGATATTTTTCTTCCCTCTTTCTCACGGAGAAAAAGCATTTACCTGTGTCAGCAAAGTTAAGGAAAAATCTGCTTCAAGACAGAAAAAACAGCCTTCTTTGGGGAAGACATGCTGTTCATATTCTGACAACCATTTCTTTCCACTGGCTGATCTATTAGGAATAAATAAATCCTATTTGTCTGTTTATCCTATTTATCCTTCCTTCCAAGTTGTCCCTCCTTCCTGGGAGGAAGCTGAGACTTTTCTGACTGTCCCACGACATCAAATTCTGGGCCTGGTTGGTACAAAATTTTGGGGTAGGAAGGAAGCGGGGGCGGGGCACATATCCTCTGAGAACAGACCTAGTCTACATGACCAAACAAAGATGACTTTCCAGTGTTTTAATCTTTAGGGGGAAATGGTCAGGGATCTTTCATTTCTAGGGATTTGGAATTCAAATGTCCACAGTATGCAGAAACACTTTGGTTCTCCCAACTGCTAACAAAGCCAGCCCCGTGGAGATGCCAGAATCACAGGACTTAAAACTTAGAAACTATGGGACTTCCCTGGTAGTCCAGTGATTAAGAATCAGCCTTCCAAACCATCACAATATTGTAAAGTAATGATCCTCCAATTAAAATTAATTAATTAAAAAAAGAATCCACCTTCCAATGCAGGGTACATGGGTTCAATACCTGGTTGGGGAATGAAGACTGTGTGCCTGAACTATGCGTCCTTGTGCTCTGGAGCTTGAGTGCTGAAACATGCCACAACTAAGACTGACACAGTCAAACAAATAAATATTTTTTAAAAACTCAGAATCTTTGGTATATGCCCTTGTATATATGTTCCTTACCATAGTTAAGTATTTAAGCCACTTTCTGTGTCCCAAGTGAGTAGGTCATAGTGTATGGGACCTCCAAGGCAGGCCTCCTTCTATCCCACCAGCCCCACAAGGACCCCCAGGGTGGCAGGCAGCCAGCGTACCCACGATGTCAAAGCAGACCCCGGTCTCCAGCCGATGTTTCCTGTACAAGTTCTTTAAGACCTTGGCGCTGCCAAAGCGTTTGAAGCGACTCTTCACGTTATTGTAGAACCATTCCAGAGACTGGGTCCTGAGAACCCTGAGGACAACACAGAAGTAGGAAACAGAAAATCAGAATTAAAGGAGAGAATTAGGAAACAAGGAATTGCAAAAGCTGCCACAGTGCTTTGCAAGCTCCTTCCATCAAGACATAGAGCTTTTTCCTCTGCTCCATGGATCTGGACTGGCCCTGTGACTTGCTCTGACCACCGAGACTGGTGGAAGCAATGCTGTGCAAGTCCAGAGCCTGCCAGCTTCCTCTCTTGCTGCTCCTGGAAGCCCTGCAACTCACTGCCATGTGAACAAGCCCAAAATAGCCTTTGGGATGACGAGAGACGCTCAGCCTGATCACCCTTCTTGCCCCAGCCAATAGCCAGCCGACCCTTGGACAGGAGAGCGAGGCCACTGACTGCTGGCCGACTGGAGATGCATGAATAAGCCTAAGTAAGACAAGCAGAAGAACCGTGCATCTGAGTCCATCCGAAGAGCAAGCTGATAAATGCTTGCTATTTGAAGCTACTAGCTGACACATCTGTTTAGTAGCTCGCAGGCTTTATAGTTGGTAGTCTTACTACATTAACAGCATTTCTACTTCAGCTTGGGAAGATAAAAGAGCACAAGTGAGACCCTGGGCTCTATGGCAAAATTCTGCAGCCTCTTACTCATTCAGCCTGAAGTACTGCAGGAAAGAGGTTTCCTGGTCAGCGCTATCACCCTTGGTATGAAACGCTGATGTGATTCTTCTCTTTATTGCCTGATGAGAACAAGTTGCTAAACCCCTCCCATTTTAAGAATAGCTTTTGTTATTTTTCTTATTATGAATGGAAATAATGCATAAACTCATTTTAAAAGTTCAGAGAAGCAAGATGAATATAAACGCTTCTAATCCAGTGGAGGAACAAGCACATGTTTAGCTGCCCTTCTTCCCCAGATGCCAGTGAAATGTGAGCTGTCCAAAGGGAAAGAAATTTGTAGAAATGAAGAGTGGAGCATGGAGAAGAATCAGAGATTCTGACAGATTTCTAGAAAGTTCTAAGTGAGCGATAGCATAAAGGTAACAGAGAATGTTGTCCTGCAAAACAGTCAGAAGGACTGTGACTCACAGACTGGGAGGTCAAATTTAATGTTGAATGGTGAATACTCATTGGTAAAAAAGAATGAAATCTGCACAATATGGCCTGCCAATACAGGAGACATAAGAGACGCGCCTTCGATCCCTGGGTCAGGAAGATCCCCTGGAGGAGGGCATGGCAACCCACTCCAGGATTCTTGCCTGGGGGATCCCATGGACAGAGGAGCCTGGCGGGCTACAGTTTATATGGTCACAAAGCATCAGACAAGACTGAGCGTCTCAGCACACATGCCCACAGCAGTATGGATGGACTTGGAGGGCATCATGCTGAGGGAAGTAAGTCAGACAGAGAAAGACAAATGCTGTATGATATCACTTATATGTGGAAGCAAAAAAAGGACAACAAACTAGTGAGCAAAACAAAAAAGAAGCTAGCTGACTCATAAAAAAAACAAAGTTGTTTGGTGCAGAGAGCAGGACTGGATTATGAGACGGTCCTCACAAAGCTAGTTTAATAACTGTGTTGATGACAGTGAGGCCTCTGGGCCCCCATCCTTGTTCCCAAACTGACAGTTGGTCCAAAGATGCTTGGCTCCAGTCAAAAATAGAAAGCAGTTCTCTAATAAAATTGAACAATCTGCTTGAGGAGGACTAAGACTTCAATACCGGGGTTACCACCTGGTGGTAAAGCCCTCCTTGTTCAGCACTGGGGGAGCCCCACCTGCCGGCCTACCAGACTCTGTCCATGTACCCCAGAGTCAAGCTCTCGGAGCTCTCTGCACCTATGTCACCTCCTTGGGAGGCCCTCCCTGACCCCCCTAAAAACCACCACCACCATGCCAACACATCTATCTTCTTCCTCCCATTTTCTCTCTCCAAATTTCTAGGGTGCTTCTCTGTACCTGATGTTTAATTTTATATAATTATTATTTATAAGACAATCAGTACATTAATATGCTAATTAATAATTATTAAGTTGTTTATTATCTATTTTCTATTTCCAGTGGAACATATGCTCATGGAAAACAGGTTTTTTCCCCCACTGCAGTGTACATAATAGACAATAAAATCTAGTGACGGATGGACACAGCTTTAAATCTATTTTTTCTTTTTTCTTTTTCTTTTTTTTTTCTTTGAAACATGCTTTTTTTTTTTTATTAGTTGGAGGCTAATTACTTTACAATATTGTAGTGGCTTTTGTCATACATTGACATGAATCAGCCATGGATTTACATGTGTTCCCCATCCCGATGCCCTCTCCCATCTCCCTCTCCGCCCCATCCCTCTGGGTCTTCCCAGTGCACCAGGCCCGAGCACTTGTCTCATGCATCCAACCTGGGCTGGCGATCTGTTTCACCCTAGATAATATACATGTTTCGATGCTGTTCTCTTGAAACATCCCACCCTCGCCTTCTCCCAGAGTCCACAAGTCTGTTCTATACATCTGAGTCTCTTTTTCTGTTTTGCATATAGGGTTATC